GGTTCCATGATGCTGTCGCTGCTGCAGATTCTTATGCTCAGCAACCCTCCTCCCATCCCTCCCCGATGCGACTACGATCTCTACAACGACGAGAAGTCCGGCGTGAGTTGGTGGTGGTTGAAGGCAGGAGACGAAGAGGAGGAAGAGAGTGCTTGGTGGAGAAGAGGAGAGGAGTATTTGTTGGCGACAAGGAGGGAAGCAGAAAGGGACGAGGACAAGGACGAGGACGAGGACGAGGACGAGGACGAGGAGGACGAGAGGGGGAGCTTGGATCAGCGCTTAAGGAGAAATGTCAGGGGGACGTGTCAAAGAAGTACAGCAAGATCAAGTCTGCCTCACAGATGAAGAAAATCCTCGAGAAGGTCAAAGATGCCTCCTCCTCCTGTCTTCTCATCTTCTTCCTCTTCCTCTTCCTCTTCCCCTCCCTCTTCCTCTCTCTTCCTCTTCCTCTTCCTCTTCCTCTTCCTCTTCCTCTTCCTCTTCCTCTTCCTCGTCTTAAAATCATCTGGCAGGCCAAGGAGTCTCTTCCTACCGTCAACGCCCCTGACTATCGGTGACCCTCCTGACATCCTGCTGCTACTTTCTGACAACCTCCTCCCTTCGTTCCCCTCCCCTGTCACCTTTTATTCCTCCTCCTCCATCTCCTGATCCATCTCCTCCTCCATCTCTTCCTCATCCGCATCACCATCCGCATCTTCCCTCACCTTTCCTTCAGTGGCCTGGCTAGGATGGCCATCTCCGGGAAAAAGCTTCGCACACCCAAGGTAAGACGGCAGAAGGAAAGACGCGAAGAGAGGAGGAGAGGGAGGGGGAAGAGGGAGGGAGGGAGGGAGGGAGGGAGGGAGGGAGGAGGGAGGGAGGGAGGGAGGGAGGGAGGGAGAGAGAGAAGGAGGAGAGGGGAGGGAAGAGAAAGAGGAGGAGAGGGAGAGGGAGAGGGAGAGGGAGAGGAGGGAGAGAAGGGGAGCAGCAACAAGAAATTCCGGAAGATGATGGACAAGGAACAGGGAGGGAAGAAGAAGGCAGATTTCTTCCTCCACAGGATCGAGGTTCGCCACAGCTCTTGCGCCTCCTCCTCCTCCTTCCTCTTCCTTTCTCTCTTCCTTTACACCTTTCATCCTACTGCTTCTTGACCTCCCCCTCCCCTCCTTCTGCTACTCACTCCCTACCTCCTCTTGCTGATCATGCTTCCTCCCAATTCCTTATTTTCGCCTCCTGCCCTCCCCCTTGCTTTTCGTTCCTTCGCTTCGCTGATCTCAGGCAGGAGCGACATAAAGCACGTCACTTTTCCAGAACCGTGCGCTTGTCAAACTCACCTGGTAACTCCTCCTCCTCCTCCTCCTCCCTTCCTCCTCCCATCCTCCTTTCTTCCTCTTCCTTCCAGCTTCCTCCTCAACCCTTCCCCCGCCTTCCCTCCTCCCAGCTTCGCTCTGTTCTCCTCGACGGACCTCAACTTTGCCTCCTGCTCCTCCTTGACCTTGTGCTGTCTCGCTTGCCTCCAGGTGACTCACTTCTTTCCTCTCACGTCGACTCCGCTCCATCCTCCCCTTCTGGTTCCGTCGGGCGCGGGAGGAGATGAGGTGGAAGATGAGAAGTCTCGGATGAGAACAAGCACGACCAGCTTGCGAGGTTGAGACTTGAACGAGGGCAGGAGGAGGAGGAAGACAAGAAGGAGGAAAACAGAATGATATTCATTGAGCAAAAGAATGATATTCATTGAGCAAAAGAATGATATTCCTTTGAAAAAAAGAATGATATTCCTTTGAAAAAAAGAATGATATTTATTAAAGATTAAGATGTAAATCAACTCGTCCCACCTCTCCCTCCACCTCAATTCTCATGCATCAACTCCACATACTTGTCAATCAGTTCCTTCCTTGACAGACCTGTCCTATCCTCCTCCTCCGTCCCTATCGCCTTGTCACACAGAGGAACAACAGCAAGCAAACCACCGCACCTTGCAGTCTGTTGATGGCCTTGATAAGAACTTTCTCAGAGACTGTTGAGTTGATATTGAGAAGCCTGCGCGCAGGGTCAGGAGAGCGGTGAGGATGAATGCATTGATCACTTGAAATGTCTTTCTTTTGTCACATTCTTCAAGTTGAGTTGAAGGAGCTGCGGGGTTGTATCAGAGGAGGAGGAAGACAAGGAGGAGGAAGACAAGGAGGAGGAGGAAGCAAGTAGGAGGAGGAAGAGGAGGAGGAGGAGGAGGAGGAGGAGGAGGCAAGGAGGAGGAGGAAGGTAGGAGGAGGAAGCTGGGAGCAGGATTGAACGACGATGACAAGGATAGAGAGAGGGCAGAGATTTCGGACAGGCAAATGAACGAAGAGCATAGCAGGAGAGAGGAGGAAAGGAGAGGAAAGCTGTCATGAGATCAAAAGGACAGGTAAGGGAAGACGGAGGAGTGAGGAGTGAGGGAAGGAGGGAAGGGAAGGAGAGAGGAGGAGGAGGAGGAGGGGAGGGGAGGGGAGAGGAGGAGGGGAGCAGTTAGGTGTGGGCTGGCAGCACCTGGCACTTGTTTCCATCCTCCTCTTCTTCTGAGAGTAAATTCAGTCAGCAAGTCGAGGCAAGTACAACAGAGGTTGTCTAACCACTGAAATCAATCCTCTTGCAAGAATCCTGCCAGAAGAAATCAATAAAGGCAACACACGACATCAGGTTCCTCGTCAGTGCCAGGTCATCATCCTCCCTATCATGTCTATCACCATGTCGTCGTCGTCGTCGTCATCATCATCACCATCTCAATCATCGCCATCTCCATTACCATCATCAACATCATCTCCACGACCACCACCTTCTCCATCAATGTCCCCATGCTCATCTCCACTGCAACAATATCCAGCACCTTTGATTGAGCAGCCGGCTTCAGCGGAGTCGTCCCCTGCTTAGCATCCCTGGCAACTGGTTCAGAGACAGGAAACATTCATTCTTGGTGGAGTTTCAGCAAGGATGTAGGATAGCAAGTCAGAGGATCCAAACAATGCAGAATACGGCCAAGTCAGGGCAGGGGAGACGCAGTGATCAGCGGGTTGCAGGGGGCAAGGAGGGCGGCGGGCAGACAGAGAGAAGTCAGCGACACTGTAGGAGACATACTGTCTCCACGGTCCTCGATCAGGAGCTCATGGGGATGGGTGTGCAGCAGGGAACGCAGGAGGCTCGCACCTGGCAAGCTGGCAGAACTCGTTGTACGGCATCGACCGCCCATTTTCCATCTGCACCTGCAAGCCTCCTGCGGAGGGGGAGAAGAGGCTTCCCGCCGGGGAGCGGCACTTGGAGGCGCTATCGTAGTAGCAGACCGTCCCAAGTCGCTGCAGGTTCCTCTTTCTTACCGAGTCGGTCAAGCATCCCTCGTAGGCCTTCACCGGGGTGTGAACGTTGTCCATGGTGTTGGAGCTCCTGTTCTCAGCGGCGCTGTCGTCGGCCATTCCCTTCATCCTAAGCCGAAACAACGACGGGGACTTGCTGGGAGACAGCCCTGACTGCTTCACCTGCTTCCCACATCGTCAGCCCGGCTGGGGGGCTCCCAGACAAATTCAAAATGCACGGCCAACAACGCAGAGGAGAGGCAAGAGGAAGGGAAGGGGAGGGATTAGCGCGCGCAGAAGCTGACTGCATCATTTCAAGGTATCATCTCCCCTCCTCCTCCCCACTCACCTCTTCTCCTCCATTTCGCTCGACCACCATAGTCTGCACTACTGTGGACATGGCCGTTTCTAGCCTACCCTCAGCCCCGCTCCAACTCATCAGGACGGGACCGTACCACAGACCGTACCACGGGGGTGGAACTCCCAATAAAAGGGTCTAGTACCGGTATTTTTCTATGATATCTTGGGGGTACCTTTTGAGGAGGGGGTGGGTGAGTTTGCAGGAAATCGCAATGGCAGCAAGGCGGCGACCAGGTTTAAGGATGATTAACTCAGCCTGTGCAATGATGACAATCGTGAAACCACCATAGCCTATCAGTAAATTGTAAAATCTATATCATGGTATCAATCATGTGAATGTCATCGTAGCAGTGTTTAATATTTTCTACAATACGTATCTCTCTTATTTCTACTTGAAGCCAGCAATGCTACGCAATCCCCGGAACCGTTGCATATTACCTGTTAATCCTTCATCCCATTGCCCTGATTTAGCATATACTCGCTTTCGATTGTTCTTCTGCGTACTATTGTGTGGCTCCACATCATTATCAGATCCATCCCGTGCATTGAAAGCTTCACGGTCGTGCGGTTTGCTCAGGACAATTCGCTTCTTCGAATGCTCGTATACAAAAGGCAGGTTTGGATACACCTTTTTAGATAATTCCATGCATGCCTGATTGAATTTTCTCAGAAAATCCTTCTTGTTCAGATGGCCGATCAAGGACCACAGATTCTCTACACTATCCGTACAGAGAGTTCGTGAATTGAAGTCATAGTCTCTATCACCCAGCGCATGATTCTTATCCCTCACATACTGCTGTACTTGCAGATGAGTATCAATTGCAACTATGAAGCCTTCAAATGTTACAGATGATAGTCCCTTGACATCTTTTTGGCTGACACTGGTCCAGTCGATGCCTTCCAATAGCCATCTTCGACCCTCTTGAACGAGACGTATCCTCTCTGAAACTTCAGCCCTCTTTCATCGAATACTTTGTGCAGGCCAGACATAGCCTCTGCCATTCTTGCTGTCGCTTCATGTCCTTCTGCCTTTAGTAGACTGATGGCCTTGTCACTGAACATCTTCAGCATGATATCCACCGATTGTGGATCGGCGGTCCCGTCGACTTCCATCTGAGTCATCCAAGCAGGATTCTTCTTGGCAATATCACTGTAAGCTTTATGCCATATCTGACACCAATCCATGACGAGGTAAGGCATGATTCTATGTGTGCTTTTGAAAGCTTGGATGTCGTTTCTGGCAAAGATTACTAACTCCGAAAGTATATCCGGCAATCCAGCAGCATGCAGATTTGAAACAGCATTTTCGAATTTACATATCGCAGATAGCTCATGCTCTGTATTCTTGTCATGAGTTTGACACAGAGAGTCGTGTTCACTCAAAATCCTTCTAATCATGTCACATCGGGTGTGGCTGTCAAGGGTTCTAAAAGTTTCAAGGACTGTCTGAATGAACAGTTCGGATTGCGCCTTGGCATGTTTGTTTGGAAGACTCTCACTAGTGTTTACTGATACTGTTGCCGCGGACCGTACACCGGCAGTCACCGCGGCGTTCGGACTCCGAGTAACTCCCGAGCCGGCGGGGCCCCCGGGCCCGGCCTGGGAACCGTTGAACTCAGTTCTGAACTTGCCGACCGTGCTCGGCCTCCGAGTCTAACACTGCCAACACTGAACTTGCGGCTCCGAGGCTCGCCGGGCACTACTGCGGCACTGCGCGCCGGTCCCGGCGCGGCCAGTGACTCGTGTGATCGGAGGCCGGCTAGTTTGAGTGAGTCGGGTCCGATCCGGGATCCGATGCTCCCAGCGTGCCCTCCCTACCTTCTAACAATTTTTCTCGATTGAGCTAATAGTATATTTCCATATAGTGCCTGCCCATTCGAAAAGCAAAATCTGGGAAAGTCAACCGCATCGTTTCATTCTCAAATTAAAATGACTTATAGTTGAGTTCTCCAATAGTCCTGAGGCCAAATAGCAAGATGGAAATGCGGAAAAAATAGTCTAACTCGAGACATAAAAAGCCGTGCGGGGGCCAGGCTAATTGCTATAAAGCCCCAAAGAGTCTTCTGCGCCTGGCCGATCCTTGCTCAGCACACGCCAGTGTATCAAACATCCCAGGCTACCGTGGGCAGCAAGAGCACGAGGCGACCTCTCCTCGGAGTCCTTGAGCAGCGTCTGAACCGCTGCTCAGCTGTTGCGGTCGGCCTCTTGCTCTCGCCGTCACGGATAGTCCAGCGGAGAAGGGCGTATGAAGCAACTGGAAACCTTTCGCTGCTCTGAGGTCCGATCGCAGAGTCCCCTGCTGCACCTTTTTCATTGTCCGGATCAGGAGAGTTGCTCATCCTGCTTCATCGGATGAAACTCGATGAGACAATCTCACATGCCGCACAGGGTCTGATCCTTCTTTACACGGAGTCTGTGCTGAGGATCACGGTGAAGTCATGACTGACGATGGTACTGCTGGTCTATATGGAGAGATCCAGCGGCCCGAGAGCGTCGGGCAAGCGCGGCATGTGCACGGGCGGGAGAAGACGATGCTGTATGCGAGGAAGGGCTGAGGTGCTGCAGGTGGGGGGAGGAGTGGTGGGACGAGGGCGCAAGGACGTGGAGGATGAAGTGCAAGGAGTGCGGGCAGGTCAAGAACTTCGATAAGCTCTGAGAGGCGGGGAGACGGGTCATGATTTGTGTTTACATGTATGTCCATGAAACGCATGTATGCCATTGAGCGTGATTCCTCTCCTCTTCCATCCTCACCGACTGAGCCTAGAGAGAGCGAGAGTGAGGTCAAGGCGGGGGGAGGGAGCAGCAGGTGGTAAGCATTGCAACGGGAAGGAGAGAAAGGAGAAGAAGCGGGGGCATGCAAGGGCAAGAGAAAAGCAGCAAGCGATCCAAGGAAGCAGGGAAAGATCAAAGCTCCCCCTCTTGCCCAGCAAGAAACCAGGTCGCCTCCTCCTTTCTCCAGTCACTGCTGACGTGTGCCAAGGGCAGAGCCGGTGACTCAAAGCAAGCTCAGCAAAGTCGAGCTCGAAGCAAGATGCAAGGCTCAAGGGGAGGTCAAGAGGGGGAGCAAAGCAAGGAGGAGCTCTTCTTCTTCAACCGATTGAGGTCGTTCAGCTGCCTGGTCACCACGGAGATCTGCCGGGAGTCGAGTTGAGAGACTCAGCGCAAGATATGGAGCTACCTGTCCAGACGTTGATCGTATCCTTGTATCGATCACAACAATACTTGTCTTTTTCCATCGCCTCTAGTGTACTGCTGTCATGCCTGCTACTGCTTCTGTCTTGTTGCTCTACCTGTTTGCTGCGATGCTACACACCAGTTGATTCATGAACTCGTCACAGAGGAATACTTGATGCGAATGCTCGAGATCCTACAGGAAAAGAAGAGGAGCCAGGAGCTCGCCGAAAACCTTCACCTCCCTTCTCCACTCCGACGGACCGGGCAAGATTCCAACGAGGAGCAGGTGGAGATGAATGAGCAGTTTTCTATTGCTTTGCACGCACCTCCACAAGGTGTTGAGCATGAACTGCGAATGACGCATCGCCCGCTCTGCTGTGTTCCCGCCCACCTGACGCTGAGCTCCGACCAACCGCTCGCAAGTCTCTACAGCACGAAAGACACGCTGCTTGCACTGAGGCACCCTCCCCTCGTTGGCCTCGACCTGCCGTGCAAAGCAAACTCTCATCAAACAAGAGCGTTCTAGGATGAGAACGAGAACCAGCAACTGAGATGAAACGTGAAGAAGCGGGAGAGGAGGGAAACAAGGAGGAAGAAGAGGATACGTCAAGGGCAAGGAGGCACGGGGAAGTGAAGGAGGAGGAGGAGGAGGAGGAGGAGGAGGAGGAGGAGGAGGAGTGCAGCTCTATGTAAGAAACCATACCGATGCGATCCTGATCGACATGGAGATGTATGACTTGACATTCTCCACTCCATGTCTTCCACTGCCCTCGACAAGCCTTGCCTGTCAGTCATGAAAATGTCAAGCCAACGATATCGGTCTGGTACCAGACCATTCTCCGGACTCCTGCTCTTGCCCTGCTCGCCAAGCAGCGTCTGAGCCGCTGCTGTTGTGCTCGGCCTCTTGCTCTCGCCGTGATAGTCCAGGGTACCGACTGGCCTCGAGCACCCTCCGGGCGCGGAGAAGGGCGTATGAAGCAACCTTTCGCTACTTTGGGGTTGCAGATCTCGGTCACCTCCGACACGTTGTTCTCCTCCGACACTGCTAGCTCGCCATCGTGAGTTTCTCTGATCCACTCGTCCTCGGACCTGGCCCTCGTCTCCCACGCCTTGTACTCTGCTTCAATCCTCCGCACGCCAAACCACCTCCTTACCCTCCTGCCCTTAAGTTAGCTAAAGCCACGTCTGCTATACCTACTGAAGCATATCCGATCAGGTCGTTCCTGCTCAGTCATATCTTCGTCCTCTAGCACTACGACGATGGTCTGGAATGGGCTCTCGAGCTCGAAAGGACCGAACTTCGGAACTTGGCATCCCGTCGAGGGAACCTGTTCCTGTTCCTGTAGATCGTTTTCATCTTTCCCATCAGCGCGTCATTCAGCTTGATCCTGCAGAAGCAGTCGCACAGCCCGTTGGGGTCCATTGCTGGCAGGTAACGAGCCGACACTATGTTGATGTCGAGCTCCCGTTCCACCGTCCTCTTCTTGCGCCTCTTGGCCACCATGATGGGCTAGGGAGTCCGATACTCTGAGCTTTGCTCCTCTCACTCGACCTGTGGTCACCTCGATTGAGTTTCGCTTCATCCCTCCGGCATCAGTGAAGTTTGTCTAAAACACTGACGCGTTCGTTGACTGCTCTACACACGCCGCCGGACTCAACATGAGCTGGGATAGTCATATGAAATGTACATAACTAACCTTCTCGTCGGCCTCACCTGCTTATCTTTCCAAGTTCTCCTCTGTTTGTACCACTCTTTTGGAATCAGGCCCCTTTGACTCCCCGAGTCTGAGTGATTTGTAGACATGTATGATAGGCATGAAAGTCGGCTTTTATGATAGGCATGAAAGAAGTAAGATGAGAGGCTAACTAGTAAGATGAAGATGCGAAAAAATAATCTAAAACCCATATCTGATCATCGATGATGTCGAAAAGTAACTTAGACGCCGTGCTGACCAGTCAACTTGAAGCCAGAGATACTCGAGACATAAAAAGCCATGCTAATTGCTATAAAGCCCCAAAGAGTCTTCTGCACCTGTGAAATGCTCGTCACAACCTGCGATCCTTTGTAACATGATCGTATCAAACATCCCTACTGGGCTGACAAATACCTCGTCAAACCTGCTATTGTTGCTCTCCTGAGCCTGCGCGATCGTTGTCACAACCAGCGAGAAAGGAAACACTGACGATTCGGTTCGACAATACCTTGCCAAACCTCTCCTCCACCTTGCCAAGCCTCTCCTCTACCTTGCCCTCCAGATGCGAAAGGCTCGTCTGGACCTGCAAGCCCGACACCCTTCGTCACCGTATGTGATCAAACCGTCCTCTGAGAGTCTTGGTACAGGCGCTCATCACCTGGTCCAACGAGGTGAAGACATTTCTGCATGGGGTGTAGATGAGAAAGATCGGTACTCCTGATTTCCCAATGAGCATCACTTCTTTATCCTCTCTCCATCTGCTCAATTGCAATCATCAGAGCAGCCTCCCTACACTGCGGCGACCGCCTCACTTACCTTGCCAATATATTTACCGAGTTCCTCTTGAAGATTTCTTTGTTCCCGTTGACAAACACTCCCATTGCCTTGATCACGACGTTGGTCTTGTGAATCCGATTCCGAAGGGCATATGCTCGATCCAGCTGATACATCTTTTCAAGTATACAGCTCGGGCTTTCAGTTATCTCGAAGTGGAAACACTCCCCTCGCTCAAGACGTATGTCGCTTAGGCATTCGGCGGCGGATGTCGTAGCCAGACCATCTTCATTGCTGAGGCAGACGATGCTCTCACTGTCATTCAAGTCCACGACACGATTGAAGATGCTGTCCAGATGAACCGGCCCATCCCGTACTTTCACGCACAGGTCTAACTCAAAGCAGTGGCCCTTGCTGTATTTCTTCGTATTTGGATCGATACCACTGAGAGCATGGACCGAGAACCTCTTGCACAGGTTTGTCCTGTACTCCGTGCTGTTCACCTGTTGCAGGGCCGCCAGGTCGTTGGAGTCTCTCACGAAGAACTTCCTGCATATCGTCGCCGGGACATGAGCGAGTTGCGAGTAAAGCTGAGAAGCGAAGTAGTCCCGCGCAGAGACGAGGTTGAGCTGAACCTCCTCCCAGTGCGGCAGCTCGTGAGGCTCCTCAAGCTGTCTTGCGCTGGTCAAGCATGGCTCCGAGTTGCTCAAGCTGGAGGTATGAGAGTCTGCACTGCTGAAGGAGCTGGAGGTATGAATCATGGCTGCTGGAGGAGTCTTGACTGCTACAGGAGCTGGGAGTATGAGAGTCTTGGCGGCTACAGGAGCTGGGAGTATGAGAGTCTTGGCGGCTACAGGAGCTGGGAGAATGAGAGTCTTGGCGGCTACAGGAGCTGGGAGTATGAGAGTCTTGGCGGCTACAGGAAATGGGACTATGAACGTCTTGGCGGCTACAGGAGCTGGTGGCATGTTCGGATCTCGTCGAGCAGGGCATGATGATCTCGTCAAGATCTTCAGACAAGCTCTCGATAGCAGCTGACCTCCTCGCAGAGTGCCATGCTGCAGCATACTGCCGCCGCCGGCGCGCTGTCGGTGCCACAAACTTTGGAGTCTGGGCGCGAAATTGAGGAAGGGGGAACTTGATCCCACCCTACCCCCTCTAGTGTGTTGAAATCCTACCACAGGTGTGATGTTGTAGAGGGGGTGGGGGTGGGAGGTCGGTTTCATCGCCCCAACCTCAGGTTGTACACGCGACATTTGTGTGGAAGCTGGTATCGTCACGAAGCTCCATCAACAGGGACTGCGACACACCCGGACCCTTGTTCCTCAGCATGGCCCCACCAACCGACACATGGGCGACCTTTGGCTCCCTGGCCTCTCCACCCACACCTGGAATGGGCTCAGTGGTTCTGGACTTCACGATGACTCATCCCTACAACAGCAGCGGCAGCCCCGTCGGACTTTCTGCGCTCTCCGGCCCCGCCCAACAGAAGATTTCCGATCATCGCGCAAGTTATGGTACCCATCACCCGCCGAAGGCCTTTCTTCCCTTCACTGCAGGTACGGATGGTCTTCTTCATGCTGACGCTTTGCGGTTTCTCTGGTACCTGGCGGATCATGCGTGCTCGCCTGTTTCGGCAGTATCGCTCTCGTATGGGTCTTGCCGTCCTCCTCGCAGGGGCCTTGCGCTACTGCTCTTTGTCCTGATCCTTGTTCCCCTGCTTGTCCAGCTGCTTGTCGTGCATGCCGTCGCTTGCGTGGTTGGAGTAGCGGTTTTCGCTGCCTCCTTCGTTTCCTAGTATTTTTATTGAGGCGGGTTTGTAGGCTTTATCCTCCCTCCTTTGTTTGCTCCGGTTTGCCCTTCTTTTTCAGTCAATAAAATAAAACGATGTACATCAGGCTCTCTGTCTATTCCCAGTCTTCCAGCGCATGCCCTGTTGGACCGTAATGAGCTCGGTCTGGCAGCCCAGCCGCCTGCCAGTGTTGTCCGATTGAGCTGTACCGTCCTCGAGTCACGCCAGTGTCCATCACATAGCTAAGTTTCAATCTTGATGAAAAGTACGCTGATGAAGGGCACCCATCAACTGGATATGACAGCTTGTCAGCCAAGGGGCTCGCCGAACTTGCGAGCTCGGATGAAAACGCGAGAGAGTTGCTCATCCTGCTTCATCGGATGAAACTCGATGAGACAATCTCACATGCCGCACAGGGTCTGATCCTTCTTTACACGGAGTCTGTGCTGAGGATCACGGTGAAGTCATGACTGACGATGGTACTGCTGGTCTATATGGAGAGATCCAGCGGCCCGAGAGCGTCGGGCAAGCGCGGCATGTGCACGGGCGGGATAAGACGATGCTGTATGCGAGGATGGGCTGAGGTGCTGCAGGTGGGGGGAGGAGTGGTGGGACGAGGGCGCAAGGACGTGGAGGATGAAGTGCAAGGAGTGCGGGCAGGTCAAGAACTTCGATAAGCTCTGAGAGGCGGGGAGACGGGTCATGATTTGTGTTTACATGTATGTCCATGAGACGCCTGTATGCCATTGAGATGAGGAGGGGAAACTCCTCCGAGCCGCAGAACAAGGGCGAGCTCGCTTGCGATGTTATCTTTACAACTCTAAGCTTGTCTTGACAAGAGACCGCTCTCACTCGTAGTCTCGTCTTACTACACGTGTTTGATCATCTCGTCAGCGTACCTCGCCGCTTCCAAGCATCCTCGTGCAGGAACGCGTGATTCCTCTCCTCTTCCATCCTCACCGACTGAGCCTAGAGAGAGCGAGAGTGAGGTCAAGGCGGGGGGAGGGAGCAGCAGGTGGTAAGCAGTGCAACGGGAAGGAGAGAAAGGAGAAGAAGCGGGGGCATGCAAGGGCAAGAGAAAAGCAGCAAGCGATCCAAGGAAGCAGGGAAAGATCAAAGCTCCCCCTCTTGCCCAGCAAGAAACCAGGTCGCCTCCTCCTTTCTCCAGTCACTGCTGACGTGTGCCAAGGGCAGAGCCGGTGACTCAAAGCAAGCTCAGCAAAGTCGAGCTCGAAGCAAGATGCAAGGCTCAAGGGGAGGTCAAGAGGGGGAACAAAGCAAGGAGGAGCTCTTCTTCTTCAACCGATTGAGGTCGTTCAGCTGCCTGGTCACCACGGAGATCTGCCGGGAGTCGAGTTGAGAGACTCAGCGCAAGATATGGAGCTACCTGTCCAGACGTTGATCGTATCCTTGTATCGATCACAACAATACTTGTCTTTTTCCATCGCCTCTAGTGTACTGCTGTCATGCCTGCTACTGCTTCTGTCTTGTTGCTCTACCTGTTTGCTGCGATGCTACACACCAGTTGATTCATGAACTCGTCACAGAGGAATACTTGATGCGAATGCTCGAGATCCTACAGGAAAAGAAGAGGAGCCAGGAGCTCGCCGAAAACCTTCACCTCCCTTCTCCACTCCGACGGACCGGGCAAGATTCCAACGAGGAGCAGGTGGAGATGAATGAGCAGTTTTCTATTGCTTTGCACGCACCTCCACAAGGTGTTGAGCATGAACTGCGAATGACGCATCGCCCGCTCTGCTGTGTTCCCGCCCACCTGACGCTGAGCTCCGACCAACCGCTCGCAAGTCTCTACAGCACGAAAGACACGCTGCTTGCACTGAGGCACCCTCCCCTCGTTGGCCTCGACCTGCCGTGCAAAGCAAACTCTCATCAAACAAGAGCGTTCTAGGATGAGAACGAGAACCAGCAACTGAGATGAAACGTGAAGAAGCGGGAGAGGAGGGAAACAAGGAGGAAGAAGAGGATACGTCAAGGGCAAGGAGGCACTCAGCGGCGGCAGCAGCCGAGGAGGAGGAGGAGGAGGAGGAGGAGGAGGAGGAGTGCAGCTCTATGTAAGAAACCATACCGATGCGATCCTGATCGACATGGAGATGTATGACTTGACATTCTCCACTCCATGTCTTCCACTGCCCTCGACAAGCCTTGCCTGTCAGTCATGAAAATGTCAAGCCAACGATATCGGTCTGGTACCAGACCATTCTCCGGACTCCTGCTCTTGCCCTGCTCGCCAAGCAGCGTCTGAGCCGCTGCTGTTGTGCTCGGCCTCTTGCTCTCGCCGTGATAGTCCAGGGTACCGACTGGCCTCGAGCACCCTCCGGGCGCGGAGAAGGGCGTATGAAGCAACCTTTCGCTACTTTGGGGTTGCAGATCTCGGTCACCTCCGACACGTTGTTCTCCTCCGACACTGCTAGCTCGCCATCGTGAGTTTCTCTGATCCACTCGTCCTCGGACCTGGCCCTCGTCTCCCACGCCTTGTACTCTGCTTCAATCCTCCGCACGCCAAACCACCTCCTTACCCTCCTGCCCTTAAGTTAGCTAAAGCCACGTCTGCTATACCTACTGAAGCATATCCGATCAGGTCGTTCCTGCTCAGTCATATCTTCGTCCTCTAGCACTACGACGATGGTCTGGAATGGGCTCTCGAGCTCGAAAGGACCGAACTTCGGAACTTGGCATCCCGTCGAGGGAACCTGTTCCTGTTCCTGTAGATCGTTTTCATCTTTCCCATCAGCGCGTCATTCAGCTTGATCCTGCAGAAGCAGTCGCACAGCCCGTTGGGGTCCATTGCTGGCAGGTAACGAGCCGACACTATGTTGATGTCGAGCTCCCGTTCCACCGTCCTCTTCTTGCGCCTCTTGGCCACCATGATGGGCTAGGGAGTCCGATACTCTGAGCTTTGCTCCTCTCACTCGACCTGTGGTCACCTCGATTGAGTTTCGCTTCATCCCTCCGGCATCAGTGAAGTTTGTCTAAAACACTGACGCGTTCGTTGACTGCTCTACACACGCCGCCGGACTCAACATGAGCTGGGATAGTCATATGAAATGTACATACCTAACCTTCTCGTCGGCCTCACCTGCTTATCTTTCCAAGTTCTCCTCTGTTTGTACCACTCTTTTGGAATCAGGCCCCTTTGACTCCCCGAGTCTGAGTGATCTGTTGACATGTATGATAGGCATGAAAGTCGGCTTTTATGATAGGCATGAAAGAAGTAAGATGAGAGGCTAACTAGTAAGATGAAGATGCGAAAAAATAATCTAAAACCCATATCTGATCATCGATGATGTCGAAAAGTAACTTAGACGCCGTGCTGACCAGTCAACTTGAAGCCAGAGATACTCGAGACATAAAAAGCCATGCTAATTGCTATAAAGCCCCAAAGAGTCTTCTGCACCTGTGAAATGCTCGTCACAACCTGCGATCCTTTGTAACATGATCGTATCAAACATCCCTACTGGGCTGACAAATACCTCGTCAAACCTGCTATTGTTGCTCTCCTGAGCCTGCGATCGTTGTCACAACCAGCGAGAAAGGAAACACTGACGATTCGGTTCGAAAATACCTTGCCAAACCTCTCCTCCACCTTGCCAAGCCTCTCCTCCACCTTGCCAAACCTCTCCTCCACCTTGCCAAACCTCTCCTCTACCTTGCCAAGCCTCTCCTCTACCTTGCCCTCCAGATGCGAAAGGCTCGTCTGGACCTGCAAGCCCGACACCCTTCGTCACCGTATGTGATCAAACCGTCCTCTGAGAGTCTTGGTACAAGCGCTCATCACCTGGTCCAACGAGGTGAAGACATTTCTGCATGGGGTGTAGATGAGAAAGATCGGTACTCCTGATTTCCCAATGAGCATCACTTCTTTATCCTCTCTCCATCTGCTCAATTGCAATCATCAGAGCAGCCTCCCTACACTGCGGCGACCGCCTCACTTACCTTGCCAATATATTTACCGAGTTCCTCTTGAAGATTTCTTTGTTCCCGTTGACAAACACTCCCATTGCCTTGATCACGACGTTGGTCTTGTGAATCCGATTCCGAAGGGCATATGCTCGATCCAGCTGATACATCTTTTCAAGTATACAGCTCGGGCTTTCAGTTATCTCGAAGTGGAAACACTCCCCTCGCTCAAGACGTATGTCGCTTAGGCATTCGGCGGCGGATGTCGTAGCCAGACCATCTTCATTGCTGAGGCAGACGATGCTCTCACTGTCATTCAAGTCCACGACACGATTGAAGATGCTGTCCAGATGAACCGGCCCATCCCGTACTTTCACGCACAGGTCTAACTCAAAGCAGTGGCCCTTGCTGTATTTCTTCGTATTTGGATCGATACCACTGAGAGCATGGACCGAGAACCTCTTGCACAGGTTTGTCCTGTACTCCGTGCTGTTCACCTGTTGCAGGGCCGCCAGGTCGTTGGAGTCTCTCACGAAGAACTTCCTGCATATCGTCGCCGGGACATGAGCGAGTTGCGAGTAAAGCTGAGAAGCGAAGTAGTCCCGCGCAGAGACGAGGTTGAGCTGAACCTCCTCCCAGTGCGGCAGCTCGTGAGGCTCCTCAAGCTGTCTTGCGCTGGTCAAGCATGGCTCCGAGTTGCTCAAGCTGGAGGTATGAGAGTCTGCACTGCTGAAGGAGCTGGAGGTATGAATCATGGCTGCTGGAGGAGTCTTGACTGCTACAGGAGCTGGGAGTATGAGAGTCTTGGCGGCTACAGGAGCTGGGAGTATGAGAGTCTTGGCGGCTACAGGAGCTGGGAGTATGAGAGTCTTGGCGGCTACAGGAGCTGGGAGAATGAGAGTCTTGGCGGCTACAGGAAATGGGACTATGAACGTCTTGGCGGCTACAGGAGCTGGTGGCATGTTCGGATCTCGTCGAGCAGGGCATGATGATCTCGTCAAGATCTTCAGACAAGCTCTCGATAGCAGCTGACCTCCTCGCAGAGAGCCATGCTGCAGCATACTGCCGCCGCCGGCGCGCTGTCGGTGCCACAAACTTTGGAGTCTGGGCGCGAAATTGAGGAAGGGGGAACTTGATCCCACCCTACCCCCTCTAGTGTGTTGAAATCCTACCACAGGTGTGATGTTGTAGAGGGGGTGGGGGTGGGAGGTCGGTTTCATCGCCCCAACCTCAGGTTGTACACGCGACATTTGTGTGGAAGCTGGTATCGTCACGAAGCTCCATAAACAGGGACTGCGACACACCCGGACCCTTGTTCCTCAGCATGGCCCCACCAACCGACACATGGGCGACCTTTGGCTCCCTGGCCTCTCCACCCACACCTGGAATGGGCTCAGTGGTTCTGGACTTCACGATGACTCATCCCTACAACAGCAGCGGCAGCCCCGTCGGACTTTCTGCGCTCTCCGGCCCCGCCCAACAGAAGATTTCCGATCATCGCGCAAGTTATGGTACCCATCACCCGCCGAAGGCCTTTCTTCCCTTCACTGCAGGTACGGATGGTCTTCTTCATGCTGACGCTTTGCGGTTTCTCTGGTACCTGGCGGATCATGCGTGCTCGCCTGTTTCGGCAGTATCGCTCTCGTATGGGTCTTGCCGTCCTCCTCGCAGGGGCCTTGCGCTACTGCTCTTTGTCCTGATCCTTGTTCCCCTGCTTGTCCAGCTGCTTGTCGTGCATGCCGTCGCTTGCGTGGTTGGAGTAGCGGTTTTCGCTGCCTCCTTCGTTTCCTAGTATTTTTATTGAGGCGGGTTTGTAGGCTTTATCCTCCCTCCTTTGTTTGCTCCGGTTTGCCCTTCTTTTTCAGTCAATAAAATAAAACGATGTACATCAGGCTCTCTGTCTATTCCCAGTCTTCCAGCGCATGCCCTGTTGGACCGTGATGAGCTCGGTCTGGCAGCCCAGCCGCCTGCCAGTGTTGTCCGATTGAGCTGTACCGTCCTCGAGTCACGCCAGTGTCCATCACATAGCTAAGTTTCAATCTTGAAAGTACGCTGATGAAGGGCATCCCTGATCAACTTGATATGACAGCTTGTCAGCCAAGGGGCTCGCCGAACTTGCGAGCTCGGATGAAAACACGAGAGAGTTGCTCATGCTGCTTCCACAGTGATCGGTCATGGCCTGTGGCAATGCTAGTCGTACTTCAGCATCAAGGCCACACAGTACCTTATGCTGCACATCAAAGCATTTTCCTAGGAACAATTCATTGCTCTGGAGGGATTAGAGTGGCTGATGCGAATGATCACATGCACGCTCAGTAGAATCGTCTGAATGACCTGTCAGCACAACCATCATCAAAATGTAGGATACAACGTTTTGCAAACCAAGAATACGAAAGTTCAGACTTTATTTACAGCGCGTGTGTGCAATTGCTCTATTTTACATGCATGCATGGCCTTTCTGTCTTGTCCCTGTATCATAACTGCATCCGCGCCCCCGTCGCGCTGATGATCACTGGCCTCTCCGACGAGCTCAGAAGCCTGATACAGTGCTCCAACGCCTCAAGCTGCTTCCGCTTGCTTGGCATGCTCCCTAGCACATGGCCCCGTCGCTCCTCCTCGGTCTCCGCAAGGTCGAGCTCCTTGCTCCGCCGACTGGATGACACGGGAGAGAGCGGCGACGCGAGGCTCTCGTCGGAGCTGAGGTCGCTGAGGTCGTCCTCGAGGAGGAGGGTATCGAAGTCAGCCTGGAGGGTGTCGATGTCGTTGAGGCTTTGGGAGGAAAGCATTCTCATGGTGGAGGGAAAGTGGAGGATGTGGAGTGGGAGGTGGTTGGGTGTTGTGGTTACAGTGATGTTGCTGAGTGCAAGTCGAGAGTGCGAAGGAACGTGTGGAAGAGGGAAGGAAATGTCGAAATGAAAGGAGAGAACAGGGGCGAGTAAGTCAGCAGTGGTGTAGTAAATGGAGCCTGTAAGGCACTTGCTGACAAAGTAGAAGCTTGCATGAAACGAAAGTATGACGTTTCGTTGCATGCCAAAATTTTCTGTAAGACTGAATGAAATATCTTAACCGGGATGCTGTCAGCTGGTCATGGCAATGAACTCATTGGAAGGCTGACAAAGGGTGTGCCAAGCCGGCCTCGGTGGCAACATAGAACGTACCGCCTCTTCGCACTGCGAGGCGTCAGAAATCCTTGTGACAATAAATCCACTATGTCAGCGGTGCCGTGCCTGTCATGCGGCCAAAAAATTACGTCGATATGTGAGCGACCTCTCTTTACTACACTGCTGCTGACACTACCTTCCCCTCTGCGCCTTCTCCGTTTACACCCACCACAACAGGAAAGACCAGAGCAACAAGCAACCACCTCCCACTCCACATCCTCCACTTTCCCTCCACCATGAGAATGCTTTCCTCCCAAAGCCTCAACGACATCGACACCCTCCAGGCTGACTTCGATACCCTCCTCCTCGAGGACGACCTCAGCGACCTCAGCTCCGACGAGAGCCTCGCGTCGCCGCTCTCTCCCGTGTCATCCAGTCGGCGGAGCAAGGAGCTCGACCTTGCGGAGACCGAGGAGGAGCGACGGGGCCATGTGCTAGGGAGCATGCCAAGCAAGCGGAAGCAGCTTGAGGCGTTGGAGCACTGTATCAGGCTTCTGAGCTCGTCGGAGAGGCCAGTGATCATCAGCGCGACGGGGGCGCGGATACAGATTTAACATGAGAAAGGGGACGATGAACGATGTGCAAGCATATTCTACATGATATAACCACAAGTAATGTAGCAGTAAACCCTTTTTGGCATTTGAAATTGTCTCATCATTCATTTTTTTCGTCTCTGATCAAATTTACAAATTACTTTGCGAACATTGATAAATTGACGTTACTGACTGTGTCCTCAATCAATAAGGAATATGGACAATGAGAGAACCAGTAAGTTTGCAATTCTGAGGAAAAGCCAGTATCAAAGCTAGTGGCTGAGATACCGAGCTTCGGCTCTGTCAAGCGTTCAGTCTGACCAGTGTTTCTCTGCATACATTTTCCCATCAACATGAATTCATCATTTAATGCAAAATTATTATTGCTGAGGTTTGCTCGTTACAGTCTCTAGTAATTGTATACCTACATCTCAAAAATCATAACTGCATCCGCGCCCCCGTCGCGCTGATGATCACTGGCCTCTCCGACGAGCTCAGAAGCCTGATACAGTGCTCCAACGCCTCAAGCTGCTTCCGCTTGCTTGGCATGCTCCCTAGCACATGGCCCCGTCGCTCCTCCTCGGTCTCCGCAAGGTCGAGCTCCTTGCTCCGCCGACTGGATGACACGGGAGAGAGCGGCGACGCGAGGCTCTCGTCGGAGCTGAGGTCGCTGAGGTCGTCCTCGAGGAGGAGGGTATCGAAGTCAGCCTGGAGGGTGTCGATGTCGTGGAGGCTTTGGGAGGAAAGCATTCTCATGGTGGAGGGAAAGTGGAGGATGCGAAGTGGGAGGAGGTTGTGGAGTGGGAGGTGGTTGGGTATGGCAGCCGCAGAGCAAGGTGGTGATATACGAAGGCGGGCGCGGTCGTGTAGTAACATCTTAAAAGCTGCTTGGATGCCAAAAGAAGAGATTTCGATGCATGCCGCCATCGGTCATTGCTGACGGATATTTCTCTCGGATAAAGAAGTCGCAGGACATGACTCGTTCCTAGATACCCCTTTGGGGCCGCGTGTAAGGAAACAATACGTTATGGTTTTGTAACGGATGTTTCCAAATTGGTCCAGAAATTGGGGTTTAAAATTTATTTAAAATGAAGGCTGCCTTACAGGAAAGATATTCAATAGCACGTCGCTTCGCACAAAAACTGTCAGCGGGAAAGTTACTACAGGATGATGACTCTTCTGCCCCCTACATAGCAACAGCAGCCCTATCCTGCTCGCAACTAGGCAGCCCTTCCTTTTAGACCAACAGCTACATCGTCACTGTGCTCTAGCTTTCTTCCATCTTTCTTGTTGAATCCATTCTATCCCTCTCCTCCTCGTCTTTTCTTCATCAGAAACTACCATAACACACTTCCTCCGAGAAGACTGATCCCTCGGACATTCGCTCTCAAAAGTCAACATGATATCACTGAATCAAGACAGGCACAACTTTGTGGTTGTTCAACACGACTTCAGCAGTCTCCTCCTGAACTCAGCTGAGGACATTGAATTGGGTCATGACTCAAGCTCAGAGGGAGAGGACTTCACGCTTGGCTATGGAATCCTCCCGGCTCCTGAAACGCCTCCGCGGGGAAAGCTGATCGAAGAAGGAGATCTTCATCAAACCCACCACATAGTCGGCTGGTTTGGTCCAAGCAAACAGAAACAACTTGAAGCTTTGCGGCATTGCATAGACATGCTCAGCAGACGGGAGAGACCTGTGATCACCTCGGCTACCGGCCGCCCCATGCAGTTGTGACATATTAGTGTAGAATCCAACGTGAACTCAATAGTGTAAATAAAAATCCTAATATGTCTACATTTGTTTATTAAGTCTGCTGTGCAATTTAGCAATGAAGCATTGAATCATACGTACCAACTCAAAATTCTCCTTGTGCATAGCTTGTTCAGTCCTGTCCCGGAATGTCTCACAGCTCCGATCACCTTGACGGTTTGCTTGATGAGCCTTCAGAGATCGGCGGCTGAGCAAACGTGTCCTTCAGGAGCATCGCATTTCGTCGTCATCTTTGACTACCTGAGCAACTGCTCTCCTGCGATCATGCGGCAAGCGGAGGCGTCGTGCTTCAAGACCAAAAAAGGGGCGGGCTCGGATTAAACCTCCCGAGGCGGACCTGATAGGGAGCGCGACGAAATGCTGGCGCAGGGAGGAAAGAGGGGAAGGGGAGAGGAAGGGGAAGGGACAGGGAGGTGGGAAGGAGGAAGATGTTTTGATGAGGAAGGGACAAAAGACGTGACAGTACAAGGATGAGAGGATGAGCCCGACATTGATGCAGCTGCGCTGCACGATGGAGGGCCGCCGGGTTGGAGGGGAAGGGCAGGGGCGAGGAGAGGAGCTCGAATGAGGAAGGAGCTTGGAACCCTGTCCTGGAGTGTATCGCTGCTGTTGAGTTGCTAGAAGTGATGCATGGGGCTTGTCTGACGCTTCCTCGCAGCAGGGCTTCATGTCGCTTCCAGTAGGGGGTGCGGGGGTCGGCAACACCCTAAGGGACTCCTTTGCTCAGAGCGCGCAGCAACGAGCAGCTGCAGCCGCCGCGTCCGGTGCAACAGGCAATGTACCAGGAGGGGCTGGTGCTCCTCGTGCGGGCATGCCGAACCCTCAGCAGCAGAGCGCGGCGGGCAACCCGAACGTTGTGCAAGAGAGTGGGGTCCTGACCAAGAAGAGGATAGCCGAGCTCGTGAACCAGATCGCGCCGGGTGAGAAGATCGACCCGGAGGTTGAGGAGGTGAGAGGAGGCTGCAGGTGGCTGCGGGAGCTCTCCCCCTGACGCTCTCCGTCTGCCCCGTGCTGCAGGTCTTGTTGGAGATCGCGGAGGACTTTGTTGACAACGTCACTAATTTCTCCTGCCTGCTGGCGAAGCACAGGAAGTCGTCGACGCTCGAGGTCAGACTCGTCCTGTAGTTCCCTCCTGACCCGGCCTGCTGCTCCCACAGGCTCAAGACATCAAACTTCACCTGGAGAAGAATTGGGGCATGCAGGTAGCGACCTGCGGGTCGGGGAGGAGCGAGAGCTGACGTGACGCAGGTGCCTTTCTACACGTCCCCCGACGACAGAGCGAAGAAGACCAACCTAGGTACGCGCTGGGGGGGAGGAGGCGGCGACGGGCGGCGGTTGTAAGGCAGGCGGAAGAGTGGAGGAGGGGGCGGGAAGGATATAGTTGTGGGCGGGAGAGGAGGGAACCGAGGAAAGAGAGGGAGAGGCAGGTCAAGTGACAATCACATAGGCGATGGTCAGAAGAAACCGGTCGGTAGACCCCCAGGCTCAGCAACCAGTGCGGCTGGCGAAGGAGGAGGGACTGGCGCGGCGTCAGGAATGTCCGCGAGTCAACAGGGAGGAGGGGGAGGGAACATGTACTCCAGCACAAGTATGCCTGGACAGGCGGGAGGGGGGAACCAGTATGGGGGGGCAGGAGGAACGGGAGGAGCGGGTGGTGCCGGAGGAGCGATGGGAGGAGGAGTCAATCGCCCGGGACAGTACTATTAGGATGGGAATATCAGGCTTCCAGTTGAATGTTTAAGAAATAAATATCTGTGAGCTTAATCCATGAAGCGATCTGCTTTCGTTGCTCATCGTTTCTTCTCTCTTGGAGCATGAAACTATGCTTATGTCAATGAAGAGCAGGTGGAGGAGCGAAGGAGGGAGTTGCAGAGTTCCAGTAGAGAGGAGGAGAAAGAGAGAAAGGACGTTGGGGAAAGAGGTGGACCAAGGAAAAGGAGCATGAGGGTAACCTCTTTGATCTTCTTGACCAGTGCATGCCGAATTCGATCCCTGAGGGCCAAGGAGCAGCACAGTCAGATCTACCCAGCGCAGTTCTGCTTGAGACTTTTCAACCTCTTTCGTGAGTCCTTCAGCCTCTTCCTCCTCCTCCTCCTCTTGCCTCCTTCGGGCCTCGTCGCGACTTCTTCAGTCTCGGCATATCTCGCGATGTCAAAGAATCGCAGCCGTTCATCCGCAGCACTGGGGAGATGAAGTGAGAAGCAGGAAGAAGAAGTTTCCACAAGGGGGAAGGGAGTCAAGCGGGCGGGGGAAAGGCGGGGGGTGACGAAACAAGAAACGGAAAGAGAGGAGCATACGAGACTGAGGGCGGAATCGAGAAAGGAGGATGTCTGCGACTGAGCAGGGGATGAAAGAAGAGAAAGGAGGAAGGAGCGACTGAAAGTGGAGGAGAGCAAGAGAGGAAAACTGGGGAGGAGACCTACCATGTTGCTACAAGGGATTGCTCGTGATCGACTTGCAAGGATTCGATCGGCAGACCCCCTTACCCTGCCAGAACAAGTTCAAGAGCCGCCTCCTCCTGTCTGTCCTTCCATCTGCCCCCTTGTCTCGTCTCCTCTTCACTCGTCCGTGACCTCCGTCTGGGTAGAACTTCTTCCCTCGTAGTGTCCTTCCCTTCTCTGCCGTCCCCCTCTCTTGCACCCCTGTGCGTCCTCCTCTTCCTACCTTCAACAGGTTCTTCTCGTCTCCTGCATGCGATCCGATCACAGCTTTCAACTTGTTGGGATGAACGTTGAGGAGGCGAACTAGCCCTTCATCGCTGGCCGTCAAGATTGTATCGCTGTCGAGCGGGACCATGGCATTGACCGACTTTATCGACAGCGTCAGGAGGAGCAGATGGCATGAGGAGAGGGAAGGAACGAGCGAAAGTAGAAGGAGGGGCAAGGAGAAGAAGGACTGGGGGAGAGGGAGGGAGGGAGGGAGGGAGGGAGGGAGGGAGGGAGGGAGCGAGCGAGCGAGCGAGCGAGGGTAGAGAGGAAGATGGGAGGGAGGTAGCGAGTGAGGATGGAAGGAGGGAGGGAGAGAGCAGGAAGGTAGAGAGAGCAGGATACCTCTAGATGCATCTTGATGTAGTCTACTGGTTCTTCCCATTCTCCCCATTTCCACACGCCAATCTGAGCGAGCAAGAGCTGGTCAGGCATGTCCCTCCAACAGCGAGGGGGGATCAACGGCTGTCAACTTTCATTCCTTTGACACGAGGGGGCAACAGCTCGCTAGAGCGGGGTCATCTTACCACACCGTTCGGGTGCCCAGTCAGCAGCCGCTCCCCGTCTTTCACCAGCGCAAGGCTGACAACATCTCCGTCTTGGGAGGTCTGGACCGACGCCTCCTGTTTCCCCTTCTCGTGATTGACAACGGCCAGCGTCCCATCGCCACAGGCAACAACGAGCTGTTGGAGGATCACGACATGCAATGAGGGAGATACCGGCATACCCTCTTGCGATCAGGGTGGAGGAGAAGCGAGTTAATGTTGTCGGGAAACTTCATCGTCCACTGCGGGAATTTCAGCCTTCAGGAGTCCATTGGGTCATCGGGGACTCCGTACGGTAGGATGCTTGTGATGCATCTCCCACTTGAAGACATTCCCGTCGTCGTCAGCAGTGAACTGAAATACATCCATATCATGATCAGCATTGTCATCCTCATCGTCATCATCATCGTCATCATGATACAAGAATCATCATATAACAACAACAACAACATCGCCTTCATGATATGATCATCGTATTACAACAACAACAACAACAACAACAACAACAACAACAACAACAACAACAACAACAACAACAACAACAACAACAACAACAACAACAACAACAACAACAACAACAACAACAACAACAACAACAACAACAACAACAACAACAACAACAACAACAACAACAACAACAACAACAACAACAACAACAACAACAACAACAAAGTGTTCAAAAGGTTCACCAGCGTGACGTTGTTCTTCGACTTCTGCAAGGGGATCATACATCGTACTGCCGCCGTGTGCCCCTTGACTTTGACCTTGCTTGTACCTGCTCCTTCCTCCCCTGATTTCTTCTGAGCTACAGGTCAGACGGGGACCAGCCAGGGAGAGAAGCAAGAATAGGCACCTGTGTATCTGCCTTCCTCAAGAAAACCCGGTCGAATTCAGCCTCGTCGTTGAGACGCTCCACCAAAAAGCAGTCGACGCTGCCGTCATCGGAGCCGCTGAAGGACGCGTCACCTCCACCGGCATTACCCAGCTACCAGCACCGGAACAAGAGCCGGCCGTCCTCCGAGAACGCCAGCGTCGTGCACACGGGCAGCTCCTGGCCCTCCGTGACGACCTTCTCGGCAAGGATCTCGTGAACGTCCGGGATCGAAGTGACCAGGTCATGCTGCCTCTTTCCAAGCTCGAAGAAGTCTACAGCTCCACTGAAGTATCCCACCTTCCAGAGCAGGTCAGAGCAAGTGAGGCCGGGCCCTCCATGAAGCACCGCAACGAAGTGCGCCTTGGGGTGGAGAGCAAAGCAGGAGATGGTGTTGCTGGCCTCGAGTGGTGGGAAGCACTCCCTCTTGGAGAAATCGGCAGAAGTTTCTTTTGCTCGTCCTTTCTTCGTTACCTCCTCCTGCTTCTTCTTCGGTGGCGCTGATGATGATGATGATGATGACGTTGATGATGATGATGATGATGACGTTGATGATGATGACGTTGATGATGATGATTCTTGTGATGATGATCTTCTGGGGTTTGTTTCTTCTTCGTGCCCTTCTTATTGTCGCGGCGTGTGCTTTTCTCCTTGATCTTCTGCTGCCCAATGACAAGTTGGTCAGCTGCGCTTGCACTCGCTCACATACAGCTGAGATCATGCACGAGAATTTGACATTTCGTTCTCAATGTGGGGTAGGAGGAGGAATACAACGAATACCTTCTTCCTCGGCTTGACTTTCTCCTTCCGTATGCTTTTTTCAACGTCTCTTTCTGCCTTCGGCTTCGACTGGGGTCTTTCGCTTCTCCTCTCCTCTGTCTTCTTCTTCTTTGTCTGTGATTCTTTCCTGACTTCGCTCAGGGACATCAGCTCCTCTCTCTCCTCTGCCCTGCCTCCCCTCAGGGTCAACGGGGCTTTCAGGCAACGAAGGATGCGGTGGTGTCCTAGACGACTATCATCAGCAGACCGCACTCACCGGTCATCGTGGCATGCATCTAAATCATCGATCCCGAAATCATCATCATCATCATCATCATCATCATCATCATCATCATCATCATCATCATCATCATCATCATCATCATCATCATCATCATCATCATCATCATCATCATCATCATCATCATCATCATCATCATCATCATCATCATCATCATCATCATCATCATCATCATCATCATCATCATCATCATCATCATCATCATCATCATCATCATCATCATCATCATCATCATCATCATCATCGTCATCAACATCAGCATCAACATCAACATCAACAAACAGACCTCTCAACCACAAAAGCATCATCATCATCATCATCATCATCGTCGTCGTCCTCATCATCATCATCATCATCATCATCATCATCATCATCATCATCATCATCATCATCATCATCATCATCATCATCATCATCATCATCATGGTCATGGTCATCATCATTTGTTGTTGTTGTAACTCATAATGCAAATCTATCAGGTACCTTTTTTGCTTCGCGTACAGACTAAAAGGAGAAGAAGAAGCAGTTCAAGTACACCTTTCTCCTCCTCCTCCTCCTTCTCCTCCTCCTGCTCCTCCTCCTCCTGTTCCTCCTCCTCTTCCTCCTCCTCCTCCTGCTCCTGC